TTTTTCCCGACAATTTTTTTCCCAACTTTTTTTTTCCCGACGTTGTTTTTTCCCGACTTTGTTTTTTCCCGACTTTTTTTCCCGACTATTTTCATTTCACGACCATTTTTTTTCCGACTATTTTTTTTTCCCGACAATTTTTTTTCCCGACTATTTTCATTTCACGACCATTTTTTTCCCCGACCTTTTTTTTCCTCGAGCATTTTTTCTTCTCGACTTTTTTCCCGACAATTTTTTTTCTTGACCATTTTTTCCCAACTTTTTTTTTCCCGACTTTTTTTTTCCCGACTTCTTTCATTTCCCGACCGACTTTTTTTTTCCCGACAATTTTTTTCCCAACTTTTTTTTTCCCGACTTTGTTTTTTCCCGACTTTGTTTTTTCCCGACTTTTTTTCCCGACTATTTTCATTTCACGACCATTTTTTTTCCGACTATTTTTTTTTCCCGACAATTTTTTTTCCCGACTATTTTCATTTCACGACCATTTTTCTTTCCTCGAGCATTTTTTCTTCTCGACTTTTTTCCCGACAATTTTTTTTCTTGACCATTTTTTTCCCAACTTTTTTTTTCCCGACTTTTTTTTTCCCGACTTCTTTCATTTCCCGACCGACTTTTTTTTTCCCGACAATTTTTTTCCCAACTTTTTTTTTCCCGACTTTGTTTTTTCCCGACTTTGTTTTTTCCCGACTTTTTTTCCCGACTATTTTCATTTCACGACCATTTTTTTTCCGACTATTTTTTTTTCCCGACAATTTTTTTTCCCGACTATTTTCATTTCACGACCATTTTTTTCCCCGACCTTTTTTTTCCTCGAGCATTTTTTCTTCTCGACTTTTTTCCCGACAATTTTTTTTCTTGACCATTTTTTTCCCAACTTTTTTTTTCCCGACTTTTTTTTTCCCGACTTCTTTCATTTCCCGACCGACTTTTTTTTTCCCGACAATTTTTTTCCCAACTTTTTTTTTCCCGACTTTGTTTTTTCCCGACTTTGTTTTTTCCCGACTTTTTTTCCCGACTATTTTCATTTCACGACCATTTTTTTTCCGACTATTTTTTTTTCCCGACAATTTTTTTTCCCGACTATTTTCATTTCACGACCATTTTTTTCCCCGACCTTTTCTTTCCTCGAGCATTTTTTCTTCTCGACTTTTTTCCCGACAATTTTTTTTCTTGACCATTTTTTTCCCAACTTTTTTTTTCCCGACTTTTTTTTTCCCGACTTTTTTCATTTCCCAACCGACTTTTTTTTTCCCGACAATTTTTTTCCCAACTTTTTTTTTCCCGACTTTGTTTTTTCCCGACTTTGTTTTTTCCCGACTTTTTTTCCCGACTATTTTCATTTCACGACCATTTTTTTTCCCCGACCATTTTTTTTCATTTTTTTTTTCCCTACTATTTCTTTTCCCGGCAATTTTTTTTTCCGACTTTTTTTTCCCGACTTTTTTTTAACCTTTTTTTTTTCCCCAATTTTTTTTTTCCCGACTTTGTGTTTTCCCGACTTTGTTTTTTCCCGACTTTTTTTCCCGACTATTTTCATTTCACGACCATTTTTTTTCCCAACTTTTTTTTTCCCGACTTTGTTTTTTCCCGACTTTGTTTTTTCCCGACTTTTTTTCCCGACTATTTTCATTTCACGACCATTTTTTTTCCCCGACCTTTTTTTTTCTCGAGCATTTTTTCTTCTCGACTTTTTTCCCGACAATTTTTTTTCTTGACCATTTTTTTCCCAACTTCTTTTTTCCTGACTTCTTTCATTTCCCGACCGACTTTTTTTTTCACATTTTTTTTTCCCGACCATTTTTTTTCATTTTTTTTTCCCTACTATTTCTTTTCCCGGCAATTTTTTTTCCCGACTTTTTTTTTCCCGACTTTTTTCTCGTTTTTTTTTTCCCGACAATTTTTTTTTCCCGACCATTTTTTTCCCGACTTTTTTTTTTCCGACTATTTTCATTTCACGACCATTTTTTTCCCCGACCTTTTTTTTCCTCTAGCATTTTTTCTTCTCGACTTTTTTCCCGACAATTTTTTTTCTTGACCATTTTTTTCCCGACTTTTTTTTTCCCGACTATTTTCATTTCACGACCATTTTTTTTCCCGACCATTTTTTTTTCCCGACAATTTTTCTTCCCGACTTTTTTTTTCCCGACTTTTTTTTCCCAACTTTTTTTTTCCCGACTTTTTTTTTCCCGACTTATTTCATTTCCCGACCTACTTTTTTTTTCCCGACAATTTTTTTCCCAACTTTTTTTTTTCCGACTTTGTTTTTTCCCGACTTTGTTTTTTCCCGACTTTTTTTCCCGACTATTTTCATTTCACGACCATTTTTTTCCCCGATCTTTTTTTTTCTCGAGCATTTTTTCTTCTCGACTTTTTTCCCGACAATTTTTTTTCTTGACCATTTTTTTCCCAACTTTTTTTTTCCCGACTTCTTTCATTTCCCGACCGACTTTTTTTTTCACATTTTTTTTTCCCGACCATTTTTTTTCATTTTTTTTTCCCTACTATTTCTTTTCCCGGCAATTTTTTTTCCCGACTATTTCTTTTCCCGGCAATTTTTTTTCCCGACTTTTTTTTTCCCGACTTTTTTTTCTCGTTTTTTTTTTCCCGACAATTTTTTTTTCCCGACCATTTTTTTTCCCGACTTTTTTTTCCGACTATTTTTTTTTCCCGACAATTTTTTTTCCCGACTATTTTCATTTCACGACCATTTTTTTCTCCGACCTTTTTTTCCTCGAGCATTTTTTCTTCTCGACTTTTTTCCCGACAATTTTTTTTCTTGACCATTTTTTTCTCGACTTTTTTTTTCCCGATAATTTTTTTTCCCGACAATTTTTTTTCCCCACTTTTTTTTTCATGACCTTTTTTTTTCCCCGACCTTTTTTTTTCTCGAGCATTTTTTTTTCCCAACTTTTTTTTTCCCGACAATTTTTTTTCCCGACCATTTTTTTTCCCGACCATTTTTTTTCCCGACCATTTTTTTTCCCGACTTTTTTTTTCCCGACTATTTATATTTCCCCGACAATTTGAAAATAGTTATTTATGATATAAGTGCTAAAAGTGACATTTTATTTTGTGAAAAGGGAAGTTTGAAGGCGGAGTGTTCCATCCCTTTGAACAAATTAAAATTACTTTTAGCACGAAAATTACTTTTAGCACGATTGTAGAAAAAATCATGTGTGTATTACGAGCGAAAAGTGCCTTTGCCAATCTCAAGATATTACCACTTTGCGCTCTTAATACACAAATAGCTATTTCACTCCCCCACAGTTCTGATAAAATATAGTTAAGTTTAGGTTATTAATAAACTGTGAGTTATTTGATATGCATGAGAAATCACCTATTGATGTGCTGCTATTGAAACTCTCAGAATAATTAGTTGAAAGATTACTGATATTTTCATCAAGCTTAATATAAGTTAGATTTAAGTCTTGTACAGATGTGGAATTTCTACACACTACAGAAAAATGATTTTTCTTTTTGCATTTTAGGTAAATCTTGCCATAAGCAGGACAATTATTTAAATTGTGTGTTTTCCCCATTGAGGTTTTCCCACATTTAGTACATGAAATAATCTTTTTACCTGTATAATTTTTATTATTTTTATTTATAAACCCATGTTGTTTACTCGGCATTTGTCCCTAGTTTTGCTGTTTTCTCTTGTTGTAAACTGCATTAACCTCTTGTTTATCTTTGGGGGTACATTTCCTTACTCTGCTCCTTGACAATTTCTAAAATTTTGCATTGCTCTATCACTTTCTCCAGTGACAAGAAGTTTTTCTCTTAGTTCATTACTCCGAACACCACAAATGATCATACATTTGATCAAACCGTCTTCCAGGTGATCAAACTTGCATTTTTGTGCCTGCTCTTTCAGGGATATAATAAATTGCTCAAAAGTATGACCTTATATTTCATATGAAAGATTGACTAAAATGAGCCTCAAATTTATTTAAAAGGAGCTGCAATTTATCTTTTTTCACATCTGCAAATGTGAAAGTATAAAATATTTTAAAACCTTTGCCTACATAGTGCAACAGCTGCGCATTCTGTACCTCCTCAGGCTTTTTAGTTACCTCAGAAGCTTTGAGATAGTTCTCGAATCTGCTTCGCCACATGTGCCAATTTTCTGTCACATTTCCTTGCATCCGCATTGGACTAATTCCACGGCTATCACCCATTGTATTATCTGAATTATACCATAGATTATACTTATTGTATTTTATTTTTCAGCTTTATTACCTTGATAAATTATCTCTACTTACTTTTCGTGTACGCGGTAATTTTTTTTATCTTATAATTTCTTTCGTTGGTTCAACCAATTAAATAACAATAATCCAGAAAAGTTGTTTTACTTTTTCTTTCTTTCACTCCTGGAATTGAGTGTACTTTACATCATTATTTAATGATTTAGAAGGATGTTCACTTGTACTTGCTCTACCTGCTCTAAAAACCAGAAAGATCTAGCTACTATTTTAAATTTCGTTTAAAGCTTTCAATAGGAACAAGTTAATGTCGATCTACTCTTGAGATCTGCTTGGAGCAAAAAAAGCAGTACAAAGGAACACCCTCGATTGTTTTGAAACATTGTAATGAGGTTCATTACCGTTTAGTCCGTTTAATAGACCAGATTGACGTCAAAAGTTTCAATCTGGGAAAAACTTCATTCAAAATCCCAGAATCGAGTGTAATATAATACTTAACTGATAATGCGTTGGCGGTAGCCAAATTTAATTAAAGCTAATTTAAGATAAGCAGAAGTAGGGTAAATGGGTCTTTATTGTATTTTAATGAGTTTAACAAATACAGTAATATCAATATTTAACTTTATAATCATGATCCAGCCACCAGTAAAACTTAAAGACATTCTTCTATTACAGTATTTATAAAAATGTGTAGTTTCAGTTTACTCCCAATCACCTAATCTCGCTAATCTTTTTGATATATTACATTATATCAACGATTAATCTAATCAACTCCCAATAAATTACTCCATATTTCAGATTGTGTCACAACAGGAAACAAACATCACAATGGGCAAATTCGAAATCCAGTCGGTACCACCTACAGTCAAACCAAAAAGAGAAGAAAACGGATGCGCCACAATTTGCGCTCACTCTACTTGCAAAAGCGTGCACTACAACTCGCTGGAAAACGGGCTGCGCAACTTGACTTTTGCGCATCGGGTAATAGAGGAGGAATCGGACCAATCCGCGATTCCTTCTGGTATGGAAGTGTTGACCAATCAGGTGGCCGGACACGTTATTGATGGCACTAGTGGATTTGGTAAGAATTACAAGGTTGCCAAATCAAAATTTGATTAAGTATTGTAGGTATGTTGAAAAAGGACGGGTTGGTGTTCAAGCCGCTTTTGAAAAAAGACTGCGCTGAACGTGAGGTTAAATTGTATGAGCGGCTAGAGGCCAGCGTTGATAGGTCGTTGATAGAGATGCGTCGACTTGTGCCAAAATATCATGGAACACAAAAAGTAAGTATTATAATTTGATGACGTCGTCAATGGTGCTACACAATACACAATATATGTCCTCGATTCCCAAAAACGAGGCCGATAAGCAATCCTGTGTATTATCCTTGGCTTACGTCATTCACTATAGGTTTTCTATGTTATATTTAGGATGACAAACAAGGAAAGATAATGTTGTCAATGCTTATTTTTTTTCTTATAATTTACTATAATTTAGTGTATCAATAATTCTGACAACAGCTAAAAATAACAAAATGAAAATGTTTACAAAAGTCATGCAACATTGTGCGCCGTTGCCAACCAACAACATTTGAAATTCCTCTACTTTAAATGCGTTGAGAAGTATTTTTAGTTTCATTAGGTTGGCAGCAGAAATTCACTAAATGTGACGTCATCTTAAATATAGCGTAAAAATTTTATAGTACGGAGCTTGAGATTTGATGAGGATATGCTATTCCTATTTTGTAATAATCAATGAACTATAAAGTACACATACCTGGAATGGATGCAACCGTTGTCGGATATGGCATTTGTCTTTCTTTTAGTGTGTTTAAAAATAGCTACATAAAGTAAGTGGGGGATATCTTTCTCTCTCTAGTTCATTGTAGGTTTGGTATATTCCTTACCTCAAATATAATATTTTTTAGACAAGGAAAGATTTCTATAATTCTTCAATAAGATAAATAGAGATAGGTATCCCCCTACATTTTCCATCTCAACTTGCCACAATTTTATAGATACATGTAGTTTATTGTTTTGTTCATTGCTAGTAGTAGTGTGTAATATCCTTGAGTTTTGTAGCCATCTTATAAACTAGACTCCTGAAATTGATAGGTTTTCTGGTAATGAGTAATTTGATAACATATCTGGGATGCCTTATGGAGATTTACATTATGTTGAGGCACCCCAAATGACGTCATAAATTTATCAAGGAACCCAAGGTTTTTTGAGAGAGGTAGTTTGCCTCAAGGTGCCTAAAATTCCTAGTTGATCCGCAGTTGGCACCACTGTCTCCAGGTTCCCAAAGTTGTTTGGTAATGGGAAACTTGATGACGCATCAGGGGTGCTTTATGCAAATTGGCATTATGTTGAGACACCCCAGATGATATTCATAAAGTTATCAATTAATCTCTCCCAAATAACTTTGGGTTGCCTGATAACTTTATGACGTCATCTAGGGTGCTTCAACATATTGCAAATCTCTATAATACACTCCAGATGCGTCATCAAGTTTCCCATTACCAAACAACTTATTAACTTTGGAAACCTGGAGTCTGGAGACAACCTACCTTTTTCAAATAACCTTGTCTTGTAAAGAAATAACTATAGCAATGTTGCCAGATTCTCACATAAATGTTATCAATGACAAATTAGGAAACTACCAACCCCTTAAAAAAAAAAATGTTGAACTCTAGGTCTGACTTGCAACTACTCTATTTTTTTTCTAGGGTTGAAGAACTCTCGGTTAAGTAACTCTGAGTAATGATATGAAAAACGCCATCTGTTCTCATTCACCATTTATTACTACTATTGTAGGTGGGTTCGGCTTGCTCACTCCGAGTGACTCCATTCGCACTCCAGCCGTTCGGGTATTGCTTTTTACCGTATTAGGGGTGACTCCATTAAGGGCGGGTATTATAAAACTTCTTTGAAAGTTAACTTGAAGTTAACTTCTGGAATTACATGTAATTCAAAAAGTTAACTTCAAGTTAACTGTCAAAGCAGTTTTATAATACCCACCCTAACTCTGTTCACTCCACTTCAACTCCACGCTGAATAGCCGAACCCAGCTCCTGTTGAAAGAAATATCGAATCCTATTGATAAATTCAAATTTCAGTACACGCTTACATTGATAAAATATCTGTATGTTGTATCTGTTTCTATCAGCATGTGATAGAGAAAGAAAGAGAAACTAATGAAAATCACAGATAGGTATAACATTGAAGTTAATTGGCAACACTGTCTAAGAGTTGGTTTCTCAATATCAAGTCACCTCCGGGTTGGTTTTAACTCCAGGATAAAAATGACAAACTGTCAATTCAACAAATAATAAAGATTACTTTGCGATCAATTTTTGTCTATTCTCGGCTTTTGAAGTCGACTGGCAATGGTCACTTCTGTCAAATGGTACAATGAAGTATTAGTCAAATAATTTTGCATGTGTCAATCCATGGCCAACTTGATAATATATTTTCCCAAAAGTCCCTTGTCACTCTCATTGATTAGAAAAGGAGGGCCGATGACAAATTGTCAATTCAACAAACATTAAAGGTTTCCTTTCAATCGATTTGTGTCTATTCCCGGCTCTTGAAGTCGACTGTCAATGTTCACTTCTGTCAAATTGTACAATGAAGTATTCGTCAAATAATTATGCATGTGTCAATCCATGGCCAACTTGATAACATATTTTTCCAAAAAGTCTCTTGTCATTCTCATTGATTAGAAAAAAGTGCCGATAACAAACTGTCAGTTCAACAAATAATAAAGATTTTTTTTCAATCATTTTTTGTCTATTCCCGGCTCTTGTAGTCGACTGTCTGGTCACTTCTGTCAAATTGTAATATGTAGTATTGGTCAAATAATTATGCATCTGTCAATCCAGGGCCAACTTGATAACTTATTTTTCCAAAAGTTCCTTGTCACTCTCATTGATTAGAAAAGGAGGGCCGATGGCAAACTGTCAATTCAACAAATAATAAAGATTTCTTTTCAATCAATTTGTGTCTATTCCCGGCAGTTGAAGTCGACTGTCAATGGTCACTTCTGTCAAATTGTAGAATGAAGTATAGGATTTTTACGTTATATTTAGGATGACGTCACATTTAGTGAATTTCTGTTTCCTTTTGTTATTTTTAGCTGTCGTCAGAATTATTGACACATGACATTCTGGTAAATTATAAGAAAAAAAAATAGGCATTGACAATATTGTCTGTCCTTGTTCGATGACGTCATCCTGAATATGACATAAAAAACCTATATCGGTCAAATAATCATGCATGTGTCAATCCATGGCCAACTTGATAACATATTTTTCTAAAAAGTCTCTTGTTACTCTCATTGATTAGAAAAAGAGCGCCGATGACAAACTGTCAATTTAACAAATAATAAAGATTTCTTTTCAATAAATTTTTGTCTATTCCCGGCTCTTGAAGTTGACTGTCAATGGTCACTTCTGTCAAATTGTTCAATGAAGTATTAGTCAAATAATTATGCATATGTGTCAATCCATGGCCAACTTGATAACATATTTTTCCAGAAAGTTTCTTGTTACTCTCATTGATTAGAAAAAGAGGGCCGATGACAAACTGTCAATTCAACTAATAATAAAAATTTCTCTGTTCTATTTCCAGTTACAAATCAAAGGCAAAGAAATCGACTTTCTAATCCTAGAAGACCTGACCAGAGACTTCAAAGAACCGTGCATAATGGACGTGAAAATAGGCAGACGCACCTGGGACCCGCACACCGCCCCCTACGACAAAATCGTCTCGGAAGAACGCAAATATCAAGCGTGCAAACGCGATTTGGGTTTTTGTGTGCCTGGTTTCCAAGTTTACAAACTCGGCGACCAACAACCACTTAAATTTGACAAAGAATATGGAAAACGTCTTGACAAGGATACTGTCAGAGAGGCCATGAAACTGTTTCTAAACGCGTCGAGAGGGCGCTGCTGTCGTCCTTTGCTGATGCAATTTCTGGCGGCGCTGTGGCAAATCCAACACTTCGCGCGTGCGCAGCGCCGCCTGCGACTTTATTCTACTTCGATTCTGTTGGTATATGATGCGCGCCGGTTAAGAGAGCACCACTTCGAACCTATTGACAATAAGCCTACTTTGATAAGACATAGGAGTTTGTATAGGTAAAATCAAGGAAATTAAAAAATTATTTTATTGGTGGACAATTTAATTTAGGCCGTTAAGTTTGGCCCAATTGAACAACTGCTGCGCAGAAGAACGCGTTCCGACTGGTTTCAGCGGCCAACAAACGTCAGATGGTCCGATTCTTAAAGCGCCCAATAGAATTGTTCATATGGACAGTCTTAGACAGGCGCCCACCAATCGCAATGCTTGGCAAAAGTCAATACACGCCCTCAAGAGGACTCATTCGTTTCAGAACGACTACGACAAGGACGTGCAACACAAAAAGGACAACTACAATTTGATTTTGGACGATTTGTGTTGCGAGACTAAGAGTGAGGTAAGAATTTTTTCTTTTTCTTATCTAGAAATCTTCTTTTTTGAAATCCTCCCGCTCTTATTGTCTTGACTCTTGAGGTTTTGTGGAAATATTGACATTTTTAGGTGTGGGCAACAGCAAAAATGATTGACTTTGCGCACGTCTACACGTCGGACAGCGCCGACGCGGACAAAAACTATTTAGAGGGCGTCAACAACTTGATTAAAATGTTTGAGGATTTTCTTGCCGAGACTGACGAATCGTAAAAGCGAATTTTTACTGCGAGGTTAAGTTACTTATTGACTCTTGATTATCAAACAAAAATGATAAATCTGGTATTTGCATATCTTAAATAAATTAATTGTAAATTTGGAGTTTTGTCTACCAAACCCTTAATCCCCTCTATAGATTCCCTATGCAGTTCATTATATAAAGACACTTGATCATCCGCCTATAGTTGTGTTTATCTGTTGCACGTAAGCAATTACTGGAAATTGAAATTGACAAACTCTTGGAGAATCATATAATTGAAGAATGCGAAAGCCCATGGGCAGCCCCGGTGGTTATGGTAGGTACCCAAAGGTCTAGATGGTAGAAACGTGCGTATTTGTGTGAACTATCAACGACTAAATGCAAATATAGTTAGTGACAAGTACCAGCTACTGTGCATGGATGATCTTCACTCGACTAAAGAACTTTTCACATGACTTATTTGGATTTACGTTCCGCGTATCACCAGATAAGTGTTTATGAAGTTGATCGTGTTGAAACAGCCTTTACTACTACTCCTTTCGTTTTAACAGGATCCCGTTTGGACTGAAAAATGCACCTGCATTCTTCGTACTTAATCCTATATGTTATGACACCAAGTCATAGATTATATAGGTAGGTAAGGTACCTATATATTCTGTGGTCAAGTGTACAGAGTATACATAATCTACAGTCTACAGAATGACCTAAGTAGTATGTACCTCCGTAGAAAAGATGTCATGCTGTTCATAGGGTAATATCTATTCACCAATACATATCTTATCCTTATCGTATACCAAGTGAGTTTTCTCTCTACCTGAACCCCCACTTAGGTAACGATCCTGTTGCGACGTCCTAGGACTAACCATATAGGGGTTTGTGACTTATTTTATTAACACGTGTAACTTGTTTTCTATATATAGTAGTTACAGAGTCACGCATTTCAAAGCTGGGTCAGCTTTTCCAACATAATAATATTGTCCCTATCAATCGTCTCAAAAGCCAATTTGTAACGGTGTTAATTAGGACCATGCCTATGACCCGCCGGACCTCAGTGGAGTTTTTAGGAGGAAGAATCTGAATAATGACCTCTACCAATAACCTATCAGAATTGACCATTCCATAGACCAAGTATCTCAACTCAGGCTTAGAAGTCTCGCACTTCTCGGGATTCAACGTAAGACCAGCCCGCTTGATACGCAAAATGATATTTCTTGAGTACCTATGCTTGTCAAAAGATGCGGTACCAGATAATAAAACCATCCAAATACACGAACACCGAGTTCGAAGTCAACACCGATAATTTGGCATAACGCTGGAGCATTGGTTAATCCAAATGACATCCTCTTAAAGTGCAATATAGGCCTACAGGTTCAAAGGTGTGATGCCAATGCTCACCACTCGCACTGTATGAGGCAGCACAAACATCAACAAAAGAGGTAAGTATCTCCTACCTAATGGAATATTTGCTTTCGTCGTTAGACTTAACTTTCGCAGCACAACTAGGACAGTGAATGAAGGACTGGTATGTTTCTGATGAAACCTCGATGCAGTGTTGCCAACGCCATGTAACCAAAAAATCCGCTGTCAACCGAAAACAAATCGACGAAAAAATTAACTCACTGGACAGCCTGAATCGCAAGCATTCCATCGAGGTCTGCGGGTGACGTCATCACTATAACCTGCTTATAGTGACGCTACTTGCAGGCAGTTGACAGAGAGGTAGCTAGGGAAGTATGACACAATTGAAGAATCTGAATGATGACATCTACCAATAACCCATCAGGATCGACCATTCCATAGATCAAGTATCTCAACTCAGGCTTAGAAATCTCGCACTTCTCAAGATTCAACGTAAGACCAGCCCGCTTGATACGCAAAATGATATTTCTTGAGTACCTATGCTTGTCAAAAGATGCGGTACCAGATAATAAAACCATTCAAATACACGAACACCGAGTTCGAAGTCAACACCGATAATTTGGCATAACGCTGGAGCATTGGTTAATCCAAATGGCATTCTCTTAAAGTGCAATAGGCCTACAGGTTCAAAGGTATGAAGCAGCACAAACATCAACAAAAGAGGTAAGTATCTCCTACCTAATGCAATATTTGCTTACGTCGTTACACTTAACTTTCGCAGCACAACTAGGACAGCGAATAAAGGGCTGGTATGTTTCTGATGAAACCTCGATGTCGGACCATAAAAACATCAAAGAGGTTACAGAAGAATAGTATGTAGATATATAGGGTGTACCTGTGTGGGACCAACCCTTACTATTTCAAGTGGAAATAGCTTTAAATACAGGTATCACTCAGCCTCCCGTTTCATTTGAAATGGTAAGAGTTGGTCCCACCTTTTCTAGAGGGTTGAGTTAGTGCTGAAAATCAAATTTCGTGTACGAGGGATTTATGTTTTTAAATGGTATAGAAATCCAAAATTTACCGACTGGGGTCTAAATAAAGACGGAAAGCACCGATCTTCCTAACGTTATCGAGTTAGAAGGTGATATAGAATTCTACTCATACGAAATAAAGAATGTCATAACTACACATATGAGAACAACAACAACGGGTAGTGGAGAGGAAAACGTCCTGGTGAAACAAGACACTTAACTCCCTAAGGACTGAGACAAGAAAATTATTCATTAGGTCTAAACGCACCAACGATTGGAGCAAATACAAAAGAGCCCTAACAGAATATAACAAAGAATAGAGATCTGAAAGAAAATCCTGGAGAAGAGAAAAGATCACTCAAAATGTATTGGGCTCCTTCAGAGATATGGTAGCTACAACAAACACAGACTGGATAATACTTCCATTACAGTAACATTTTTGGACCAACTTTCCAGATCAAATAACTATTTGGCGATTTCTGATGTTAAGGAATTTCTAGAACATCATCAATATATCGATTTCTGAGCAGATCAGAAAGTCCAAATAGAGATCTTAAAATCAATAGTAAGGCCACCTCCTCCAGAGGAGGAGGAGGAGGAGGAGGAAGAGGAGGAAGAGGAGGAGGAGGAGGAAGAGGAGGAGGAGGAGGAAGAGGAAGAGGAGGAGGAAGAGGAGGGGGAGGAAGAGGAGGAGGAGGAAGAGGAGGAGGAGGAGGAGGAGGAGGAGGAGGAGGAAGAGGAGGAGGAGGAGGAAGAAGAGGAGGATGAGGAGGAGTAAACCCAAAAATAACTCTTGGAAAACTTATCATAGGATCAATAATTATTAATGAATTAAAAAAATTAATAAAGACTGCTAATTGAACAAACATTTTAATACAAGAAAAACTGGAAAGCGTGAACAATCATTGCTCAACATCTCAATTTCTCTTTCTGGAAAAAGGCTCCCAACTCCTCTTCAAAAAACCAAAAAATTTTATTTTCAACAAACTTGTTCTTATCAAAAATAGAAAAATATCCCTTCTGGCACACATAAATATATATAACAGTAGTAGAGTCCGCGTCAGCAGTAAAGAGTACGGTGACGACACGGAAAGCTGCGCGAAGCGGGCCGGATCTCTCTCCCTCGTCTATCTCTCGCTGTCTGCCGTGAGCTGAAACCAGCAGCGGGGTATCTTTTTAGACAAAACTTGGATAGAAAATAAACTAAATAAATATGCCTGCTGGCCGTACGGCAATGAACCATGTGCTTGCAGCACCGAACAATACGATAGTTCGGTTAGTCTTCAAAATTGGGTTTGTGCGCATTTGACGTCACCGTACTCTTTACTCTAGACGCGGACTCTACGTAATATGAAAAACAAAGTGAGATTCTATTTTAAATACAACTTAATTCACTAAAACAGCTTATAAAAATTATTAAAATTCAATCTAACGCTAAGCAGTTGCAATTTGATGTTGGAACTTGAAGCTAAAAGTTTCAAAAACTGGGTAACGATATCCTCAAATGCTTGCGCTGTTGTGCTCACCTCAAGCTTCATTGACTTTAAAAACTGACGAAATTTAGCCACACGGATTTTAGCTTCTTCTTCGTCTTTTGTTGTCAGCTTGAAAGCCATTGTGTTTTCGGCTTTGGCTCTATAGTCCAAATAACTTTGGTTTTCTTGGCTTGCGGCTTTGTAAATAGTTTGTTGGTGGGCTTCTAGGGTTATGACGAAATTGTAAACGGAGATTAAAAAAGAGAATAGTTGGCGTGAGGATTCGTCTAGTAGAACTCCTTTTTTCACTGAGGCTAGAAAACTCAAGTGAGCTGTTATTATGTTGTCTAGACATTCAGCCTTATCCACACGATGCAGCATTTCATCCCAAGAACACTCTAGCACCTCAAACAAAAAATAATACTGAGTCTGATGCAAAAAATGTATCATTTTACTTGTCAGTATATGATTGCCATGCATTACAGCTTTTAATTCTCTGATTTTTCTGAACTCTTTTCTCATTGATAGTTGCTGACTTCTTATGTTGGCTAACACGTATTCGGTTCTTTTAGCTTTCCACAAAGCCCCAAAAAGACTTTGGTAAATTGGCAACGTTGATTGGAAAATTGTGCCAATAGGGCCATCAACAATATAAACCAAGCTAAAAATGTCCCACCCTTTATCACCAATTGAATGTTTCATGAAACTAATATTCAACCGTTTCAAAGTGTCTTCGTCTTCAAATTGGGCATTAGTGTTGCTTATTGCTGATTCTAAAATAGCCGACAATGTATGGTAATGGATTTCGCTAGCTGATTTGTTTAGTTCAGGTGTGAGAAGTTCCAATAAGTGTCTTATAAAGTCACCTTGGCCTAACAATAAATATCTGCGTAATGATTGCAAGTGTTCATAAAGTTTAAATTTGTTGCGCAGCAAATCTAAAACTCTAAAGGAAGTTTCCTTGTAGATGCCTTCCAAAGTAGAATGGAATTCTATGCTTTGTTCTGGCTTAAATAAGGCTTCAGTTGAGGTATTGTTGAATAGTTTATGTAATATTTCTCGTCCTGGTAATTCACCTGTATCTTCACAAATATGAGTCAAAAAATTAATGCTTTTACCAGCGGCTAGTATTATTTTAGCTTGCTCCATACTAATAAACGAAGGCACCATTGCCTTTCTAACTTCATATTTACTGTCCCATAACCTTGCAGCCGGGATACCATGTTTGACTTCAATTAAAAACTCATTACAAGGATCGTTTATTTCGCCATCTAGCAACCATCGTGCTAACATTCTGTATAAAGGCTTACAAACAGCTTTAAGCATTTGTTCTGAGACGGCCATGGCACTTTTGGAACCGTGCTGCAAAAACCCATGCACTGCAGTTATTAAGGCCCCTCCTTTTTTGTTATTACATTGTTCTGCTATATATGCTAACCACTCAAATCTTATTCTAGGTTCTTGCAAGGCAACCAAAACTCGTCTCAATGTCATATTTGAAGAATTCGCTCTTAATATACCAATAGTTTTGTAATACTCTGTTAATTCGCTTTGTAGAGTGGCAATAAATGCTTGACAAATTGCCCCATTGATTTGCTTTTCATTTTCAGTGCAATATTGTTTTAGTTGATTGTGCAAAAAGCTCATGCCCGTTATACGGTCTACTAAGGTACGTTGTACTGCTGATATTGATTTCAATGCTCTGGGTTCCAATGTGTAACCCAAACCCCCAGGTTCTTTGCGCAAAAATTTACCATCAATGCCTTGCAAACTATAAAAAACATCCTCCAATAATTCGTGTTCGGTTATTGAAGAATGACTTGCAATGGAAGATTTTGATGAAGGAGTTATATCATTGTGTGACCAGGAAATTGTTGTGGCTTGTGAACTGGCCCTTAAAACACTTGATGCAGTAGCTGTTGAGCTGGTTAATCTTTTGTGAAATATTTGCTTAACACTGATAGACTCTTGAGAAGGTATTTTGCTTAGAGGCCCCAAACTGCACGACTCTGTAAGATTATAGAAAAAACTCAACAATGCCACTCTATTTTGGATAATGTCAGATTGCGCCAATGAACTATATAACAAATCAAATTGTTCCAAGTTGGAAGGATTGTATTTTAAATGTTGCCTGAGTTTATTCACTATGTATGGTTCGTCGCTGGGCATTAAAACTTCCAGGTTGCTGACTTGGGCCAACATTTTGAAGGCTCTACTGGTCAATTCCGAAACTAAGTCTTCGCTGTCTTGGGCTAAGTATTTGCATAGTTTTACGATTAGTTCTGGTACGGTGCTGTTGTCTTGGGTTTCTGCAGCGGCAATTTTACCGTTATTCATTATTGTGGATTTCACCTGCGGAATAAAAAAGAAAAACGATTATTTTAATAATAATTATTGACTGATTACATATAGTTAGCTTAGTGTAAAACATCTTTATTAAATTAATAAATATCAAATAAATTGGGCATAAATGCACTATCTAACATTTTATTTTTTTTCTGGAAAACTATGTAAGGGAAAATTATGACATTTTCCGGAAAAAAAGAAGAAAGTCAGGGGCATATCATAGTGAAATTTCAAATTTTTCCAGAAGAAAATAATCCCATTGGAAATTAATGAAAATCAACTAAGGGCCAAATTATGGACCAACTGGTAAGTGTCTGGTTGTTACCTAGCAGGTACTTTCTATTCTCTACTGCATAGAAAGTACCTGCTAGGTAACAACCAGACGTTTACCAGTAGGTCCATAATTTGGCCCTTAATTAGACATAAATGCACCATCTAACATTTTATTTTTTTTCTGGAAAACTATTCAGGGGAAAATTATGACATTTTCTGGAAAAAAGAGGAAAGTCAAGGGCGTATCATAGTGAAATTTCAAATTTTTCCAGTAGAAAATAGAAAATAACCCCATTGCAAATTAATGAAAATCAACTAAATTAGGCATAAATGCACCATCTAACATTTTATTTTTTTTCTGGAAAACTATTCAAGGGAAAATTATGACATTTTCTGGAAAAAAAGAGGAAAGTCAGGGGCGTATCATAGTGAAATTTCAAATTTTTCCAGTAGAAAATAGAAAATAACCCCATTGGAAATTAATGAAAATCAACTAAATTAGACATAAATGCACCATCTAACATTTTATTTTTTTTCTGGAAAACTATTCAGGGGAAAATTATGACATTTTCTGGAAAAAAAGAGGAAAGTCAGAAGCGTATCATAGTGAAATTTATATAAATGCATAAATGCACCATCTAACATTTTATTTTTTTTCTGGAAAACTATTCAGGGGAAAATTATTAAATTCTTCGGAAAAAAATAAAAGTCAGGGGCTTATCATACTAAAATTTCAATTTTTTTTAGTGAAAAATAACCCCAAATTCCGATTATTGTTGCCTCTAGAACGCCAGAGATTCTCGTTTTAGTGCACTAAATTTAACTCCGTTTACTCGTACTACTGTTTTAGAGTAAATAGAGTAGGTTTATTCATTAAAAAGTTGTATTTATTTCGCTTCTTACAAACAAACATGAACATAATTACTCTATCTGTACTCTGAGTAAGCAAATCATTCAAAACTATATTTTTTTACTACTTTGAAGTAAATACAGTAAGTTCAAATATTAAAGAGTATAAAGGCAAACGAGCTCGGAACAGGTTTTTGGGTTTAAGAACAAAAAAAACTGATTTTGAATTGATTTTAGTTGCACCGCGAACAAAGAACAGTAAATTCGATGATCTTGAACAAAAATTAAAAATTGCTCAATTGTGAACCAGTTCAAGACTTCAAAATCTATTCGGAACTGGTTTTAATAGAATTACGAACAATCAATCTGCTTCAATACAATTCAGTTTAGTTTATTCCGAATTCGGAACAGCAATTGTAGCAGACCGAACTCTAAAAAATTAATTTTGAAATTGTCTGGAACCGATTCTAATAAATGAATTGTTAATGTGATCCAGGACACTTTTTTAGGATTCTCCTGCACTGTATGCGTTTAATGATAATTTAGTTCATAATTTTTTCTAGTTCGGAACAATAATCGAACTACTCGGAACTCTAAAAACCAGTTCATTAATGTTCTGGAATCAATGAACTATAGTAAGTTTAATGGTTCTTCTGCACCGTATGCGTATAATGATAAATCTGAGGTGTTTTCTCGCGTCCACGTTTTTGAAACTGGTTCAATCATGGTTCAAAACTGTTTTGAAACAATTCATTCTCGTGATAAACTCATGACGTCACGTCAAAATTGGTTCATACCGTTTCGGAATACAATCCAATCCACGATTTCAAACCATTTTCTCGCGTCGAGAAATTATGACGTCATGGTGACATTAGTTAAACCAGTTTTGAAACATTTGAGACGCGAGAAAACGCCTCAGTTCATGAGTTTTTCTAAATGAACTGTGAACAATTCAATGTGTACGGAACATCGTAACAATAATGGGTTTGTTTAGAATGTAAATATATTCAATATGAACAAATGCGTAAGCGCAATTCAATTCAAAGTCGATCTAGAACCAGTTCGAAACGAATTGTGAATAAAAAAGAGTAAATTCAATGTATTATTCCAGGGCACTTATATTAGATCTGTTTTTGCAGAAATCACAAACCAGTCAGAGCGAATTTCATTGGTTGAAAATAGTCAGAAAACTAGTTTCAACCAATGAAATTCACTCTGACTGGTTTGTGATTTCTGCAGAAACTGACCTTTTAAGATTTTTTGATCGTGAACTACTTCGGAACAGGTCTTTAGAACACAAAGAAACTTTATATAGTTTGGAACCGGTTTTAATTGAATTACGAATAAAAAATGGAATAAGTTCAATGTGTTCTAGAACTAATTTGGGATTTTTTTTAAATTGTGATCTAGTTTAGGTTTTCATTTGACAGTAAACGAGTTCAGAACAGAGTTTTGAAATTTTTTTAGAACAGATTTGAGTTGTTTTCTCGCGGTAGAACTGGTTCGATCCAGTCCAATTAGATTCGAACCTGTAGACTTTTGCGTTGAACCAGTGTACCTGGTTCAAAAAAGTTTGAACCTCAATTCTTGGCTTGTTAACTGTTGACATAAGACACTGTTTAATTAAACCTTCCATTTTTTCGTGTTCACTAGTGATGACGTCATTTACAAACAATTTACAACGCCTCAGAAGATTAACCCAAGTCCAAAGTTGGGTTATAATTGGTTGTAGGTGGTAAATACCAAAAGTGAATCAGCTGATCTGTGACGTCACAATTTTCCCTACTTTGGTAAAAATCGCCACAGCGGAAATGCATTGGTTAAAACAAAACTAATAGCGTTTTCTGTTGGTAAAACTCGTGCTGTCCGAGTTCTGCACTCAACACTGAATCAGTTCACGTTTAGTGCAATCCCAAAAGAACATGAATTTGGCGCATTTTGTCATTCTTTTCAAATTTATTATTTTATATCCTACTGAACTATTAAAACCATATAATACCTTGGTTACGATAATCATAAACAGGGTCTTAACTCCCAAGGGAGTTAAGGATTTTCATAACTCCCAAGGGAGTTAAGGAAGGGAGTTAAGGATATCATAACTCCCAAGGGAGTTAAGGATTTCCATAACTCCCGCTTTTACCTTGAATAGGTAACACTTTGACAAAAAATAGAAATTTTGATTTATGGCTTATTCCTTTATAAAAATAGACAGAATACAGTAAATTCAGTAGGATATAAAATTATCTATGTACCACGGGAATTATCAGGAGTTAATACCCACGGGCAATTGGTGTCTCTCGGGCCGGAGGCCCTCGGGACACAAACGTTGCCCTGGGGTATTAACACCTGCATAATTCCCTTGATACATAAATAACTATAACGATCCCTGATCCTTAACCTAACCTAAAGATATTTTCAATGGAATAAAATTTAAAAACGTTTGTGTGTATGAAAAAGTTGAAAACGGAAGTTTTTCCTGTATGTAAAGTACATAATTATGCTGTCTCCCAAGATGTGCAGAAATAATTCCAATGATACCTGCGTTGAAATTAATTTTTATGTCAATTTCAATAGTAAAGTTTTGAATTTTTGGCTCCGGTAACGCTAATACCGTAAGAACTGTCATACTTGTCAAATAGCGTTACGGTATTTGAAATTTGGACAGCACGAGAACTCTCTAGTGCTTGTTAAGTTCTTGTTAGTTAACAATAACATCTTGTGCCACAAAAACTTTAGAGAGATTTTGAGCCACCTATTTGATCAACGTTATACGTTATCGGTTATTTTGCTCATGCGCAATAGTGGAAAAATAACCGGTCCGCTTAATAAGCGGTAACGTACTACGCTAATTATGTGGAAATAAACGGAACGTTATTAACCGATAACGTTTCAGCATTTCGACGTCTTATTATAGTAGTGGTAAATGTAATTTTATTAGGCAAATATATATAAATATACATACACACACCCAAAAGGCCATAGACCGAAGTCCTTCAGCCTAAAAACTAAATTTGCACTTGTTTGGTTCACATTCAAAAGAATTACTGGTTAGAAGAAAAGGAGATTTGGATAAATAGTGTGGATATAAAAAAAAGAAAAAAAAAATATATATATACATTATAGTTAGCTAAATAAATATGTAAATAAATAGGTACGCTGTTATTGAGTTCTTGTTATCATTTCCCATAGAGTATTTTCTGGATATTTATAGCGTGAAACTTTTCGAGGAGTTCGAATTTTTATTAATGGTCTTAAAAATTCCAAGTTGTATGGTTATTCAGAAAAATGATTCGACAGGTGCTGCAATCTCTCAACAATCCCTGTTCTATTGTATAACTCTTCATTGGAGGGGTGGTGTAGTGGATTTCTTGGGTGCCGCAACTTTGTGATTGCTCGGAGAGCTTTTCTTTCAGCCATTTCCAAATTCTATAGAGCTGGTCTTCTAATGTTTTGGTAAAGTAAGTGGCCGTATTTAATTAATGGTCTACAAATACAGGTATAAATATGAGCTGCAGTTTGGATAGTGATTCCCTTGTTTTTGTATGTGAGTGAACGAAAATGTTTGGCTCTAGTGACTACTCTAATCTGAACATTTTTGGTTTGTTGGTTTAGTGACAATTTGGCATCCAATGAGAAACCCAAATATTTTACAGATGGCTGTGCTTGAATTTGATGAGTTGAGATGGTTATTTTTGGGCTATTTTCATTTAATTTGTGGTTGAATATGATAAATTGTGTTTTTTCTGGATTAAGTAGAATTCTCCATGTTTGCAACCATTTCATTATCAGATTTACAAGTGATTGTAATTTTTCCATCACACCAGAAAGAGTTGTAGAATGTGCTACTCCACCAGTGTCGTCTGCAAACTGCAGAACATATGCGT